CTGATAAACCAAAACAGACGGTGGGTCCTGATTTTGTTTTCATCTAGTTAAAGTTATAAAGTTATAACAGTCAAAATCCAAGTAACCTTATTTGATTTATGAGGTAATAAAAGAGACTACTATTGGCACCATTAAGGGTAAGAACAAATGATTCCGCTGGTAGTTACAAATATTCCAAGTTATTAATTGATTAGAGATCATTATTCATGGCTTAAAGTGCGTACTTAATGATGTAATATAGTAACACCCATCTAATAAAGATTTGAGCAGCGATATTTTAATATAAAGAACCCTCAGTTGTTTCTAACCTTCTAACCTTTCTACCTTCACTTCACAATTCCATAGACAGTGTTTGCATCTAGAAGTCACAATAAATGTGTTTGTTTCTCAGCCAAAGACACTGAAACCGAAGAAGGTGCTCTTCAGGCAGAACTACATGACCTCTGTGCTGGCAGTGAGACAGAAGGCCTGGGTGGTTTTCTACATCGGGACAGGAGACGGGCAGCTCATTAAGGTGTGTATAAAAAGTGAAATGCAATCTGTTAATGATAAAAATGCTATTGGAGAAAATGCTAAGGACAATTAATTCAAGAACATATTTGGTTATACTTATTAAATAGTAAATAAAGGGACGTTTTAGTTACAATGACGTGAAGAAGTATTGAGTATTTTTCTCAGGGCAATTGTAAGAAAAATGTACACTTTCCTTCATAACTCACAGACTATATGAAATACAGCTTTTGATGTTGGAAACATCTGTTTGCATACTAATTAACTGCTATATTTTTGCTAATAAAGACAAGTATAATATTACATTTAATGCAATTGTGTGTGAATGGGAGCAATTGTGAAAAATTAATCCAGTGTATCTAAAATAAAAGCACATCTCAGAGTAATGACATCTCTGCTGTAGTATCTAAAACTGTTACTTAGGATATTGTTTGTATTCAGTTCAGTTTTTATTTAGATGTCAAGCATCATATGCATCCAAAAAAAAAGTCGATTTCAATTTTGCAGAAGACTAAGCAACTATTCGAGTGGTAACTAGATTTTTTGGTTGCTAGAACTGAGTTAAACATGTAATTTACTTTAATGAAACGGTACAATATTAGGTTATTAATTTTATTATTAATATTATATTTAGGTTATTAACAGAATAACACAATATTTGTGGAGATCATATTTATTACATTTGAAAAAATATTATATAATATATATAAAATATACACATTTTGTGATTATTTCTTGTGAGAGAGAGATGAAAAGTCATCAAGGATCAAAGAAGATGTTCTAACAGCAGGCACGGTGAAGGCAATGGAGGCCCAGTGACTGGCACAATGGAAGTGTTGAGGAAAAGTCCAGCATTAGGTATGTTTAAGGCGATGTAGGGTGGTAGAAGTAGATGCAGTGGAGGAAAAGAAGGAAGGCCCAGCAGCAGCCGCACTGAAGGGTGTCCCAGACATGGATACAGTGAAGGCAAAGGAGAACAACCCAGCTGCAGGCACGCTGGAGATGATGAAGGACAAGCATAGTGGAAGCTGGACCAGTGTCCGATGTCTCAGAATTGTGTGGATGGTCAGTGACACAGCATGGTGCAAAATCAGCCTCTCTGAAACTTTCCCCATTGAAGTGTCCAGTGAAGCTAGACTGGATATTTGATGGTGGCAGCCATTTGGAAAGAATCCTGCAACCGGACATTAGCCAGGAATAGGCTGAAGTCCGAGCTCAGTTCATTTGCTACGGAAATAATCACAAAGCATAATAAATTCAAATTTAAAAGTGTCCTGAGAGAACTTCTCTTATAATTTGGCACTATACAAATAAAATTGAATTTAATTGAACACATCTGAGAAAACATGCAGTTTACTTTAAAATAATTGTTTTATTAAATGGCAATTATAGTACTTAAAAGAGACAGAAAAGTGAATTGCAGGAACATTTTTAACATTTGCATTTCCTGTACCAGTTTAAAGGCGTCAAGTTCAACCTAGCCACACTGAGCCATGCCTAAGATGGACCATCTCCGGATTAGGGCCAAAGCGCCAAAGCACACCCGATCTGCCTCCAAGCAGGTTGCAGGCCTCCTTTGCTCAAAAAACATGTCATGTGTTCCATGACTGAACTCTTGTCTTTAGGAAACCAGTGAGGCAAAGGGTTTTAAAAGTATTTTGAGTGTTCAGCTCTCAGTGCCTTTGTAGTTTCTAACTGAATCTCTGTGGTTTGAAGTTTAGTTTCTGTCCAGCACCCCGGTTCGTACTTTTTTATTTCTTTTTTAGGTTTTAATCTTTGGTTTTTCCATTATTTTCAAATTAAAATTTATTTGTATTTTTTATTTCTTTTTTATATTTCGACATTTTTTTGTTTTTATTGTATTATTTTTTTGCCTTGAAATAACGTTTCATTGATTTGATTTACTGTTCTGTCCTCGCTAACAGCCGTGTCTCCCTTCATTCAGTCTTGAGCTCTTTCGACCATTGTAGCGCTCCCTGCCTGTAACGACACATTAGATAGAACAGCTATATGTAATTACAAATAATATTGAATGTTATAATATGGATAGCTGACAGTATGTCATAGTGTTGTGGTACCAGGGATTCACGGTTGCAGATCATGTTTATAGAAAACATGTAAAGAGAAAACAAAGATGAACAAACAGGAGAGTTTGACCAAATGAACTATAAGCATCTCTACCTTCCATCTTAGAATTAATCTGGGCGGGGTTAAATATTGTGTGGAGCCAGTTAAAAGCATTCATCGTGTGCATGAGCACAGGTATGATTGAGGGTGAGATGGCTTGAAAGATCTTGGGGGATTTAGGATCCAGAGGAAAAGTGGGGGGACGTCTCAAGAGCAGAAGACTGAAGGACGGCTTTTAAGAGCAGAAAATATATATTTGTCTGACAAAGCTGATCTGAAATGTGGTTGTGATGGTTGATCTCAAAACATACTAATAAATGTCATGCCACTACAGAATTACCACAGGTTTTTCACTGTGGCAGGAAATATAGCTGCTTCCTGTAGAGCTGCCGTTTGGTATAAATTCTATTTGTAGAATATGTGCATATACATGTGTAAGTGGAAGACTGATCTTTTTATATAGGTATTTGTGCTTTTATTATATTTTGATAATCCTTTCTTTCCAGCTCAGTTTTGCTTTGCACCTAAAAAAAAGCAGCAGTTCAGTTTCTCAGAGAAAATGACAAATGTACTTTCTTGTTGTCAGCTTGCTGTGGACAAGAACTATCACACCACCTGTCCCAGAGTGCTCTACAGGGCCAATGACGACCGCCAAGTGTTTCCCAAAATACAGCTGGACCAGGTGGATCATAAACATGTGTATGTGCCATTTAAAAACCAGGTAGGTACTTTGTACATGAATCACATGTAAAACTGTGGTGAACACTGGGAGACTGAGAATAAATTAAATTGTTCAGATTTTACTTTTATTTCAGCCTGTTTGTGTTTTGTTCCAGATGAAGCGTGTACCTGTGTCAAAGTGCAGCACATACACAAATGTGCAGGACTGTTGGTCTGCACAGGATCCATACTGTGTCTGGTGCGGCTCTAAAAGAAGGTCAGGGAAACAACATCTGCAGCTGACACCTTCTAACAATTATAAACTTGGTTAAAACATGATTTTCTCTTCCTAGTTGCACATTTGAAGACGAATGCCAAGATTCAGACTGGTTATCCATTCCTGATGATTCTCAACAGAAAATGGTTTCATATAAAGTTGTAAAGGACAGCACTGGGCAGGTACGGATTACATACAAGCTTTTAACTATAATCAGTTGTGACTGACAGTTTTTTCTCTTTTAAACACTCACATCCATTTCTTTCACAGATCACTCTTATTATCCAGACACACACCACTGTGGGCCAGAATGCTCTGTCTAACTTTGCCTGTCAATTCTCTGTGAGTTCCGGTGAGCTTTGTAACACGGAAAACCATCCACAGTTCCCTCGATGCACCTGCATCCTTAAAAATAGCACACTTCCTGCTGAAGGTGAGTGACTATCATTCTGACTATATTATCATTATTATTATTAGTTGACAAATCTGTGTTGTACATACATATTGTGACATTGCATAAAATATATGTGTGTTGCTGAAAAGGATGACCAAGACTCTAACATTCATTGTATTACTGTATTACAGGCCTGCCAGTCACAGTTAAGATTAGACTTGGGACAACACATTTGTTGGAACAGCTGAAGATATCCAAATGCAC